GCTCTCGCAGGCGCCACCGCGTAACTTTGCCGTCATGACCTGCACCACCGAACTCAGCCGTCTCGACGACGCGCCTGGCGAGCCGAGTTGATATCCCCACGACGGTGGCGGCGTGTGTCCTTGGCGGCCTGGTGGCGGCCAAGGTGCCAAGGCCGTGGGAAGACCCTCCCGTGCCGGGCGGCATAAGGAGAGAGAACAACTCGGCTGGCGTGCAGGGAAGCATCCAGGACGACGCCACCACCAGGAAATAATTTTTTGGGGGAGACAAAAAATTGTTTTTACATTTTTCTTTGTTATAACGCGCGGTTCACGCGGCGTGCACAGCAGAGTAGTGGGGACACGGATCGCAAGAGGAGGTATTTCTCCCAGTTTCGGATGAAATAATGACGTATCACTGACCGACACCTTCGGGACCGCATCTCTGCCCGCAGTGATGAGCGCTGACCGCATCTCGCGCTTCATCTCTCTCTCTCTCTCTCTTGAATTCGTTCTTTCTCCTCTATCTCTCTTCCTCTTCTCTCTCGGCGCGGTGGGTCAGTCAGACAGCGACGGATCTAAGTGCGCGGCGCGCGCGCGCCTTCAGGAAGCGATTTCGTGCGGTAAGTGTGCGGTGCGCAGTGGGGCGGCGCGGCTCGCGGTCAGACAAACCGGCCCGGGGCACGGGCACGCCATACAGACCGGCCAGCCAGCGTGTCTAGGACCAGACAGACCGGTAAACTACACACCTTTTCAATTTTCAATTGAATGTCTAGACTGGTCTGGTTGTGGGCGGGCCGGGCCGGGCGCGGCTAGCGCGACGACCACGTGGGGCCGGTGCCGGCCGGCCGTCCTTGGGAGGAGTCTGCACCCTCGGCCACGTGCTGGTGTTTGTTTTGCACGACGGGCGCTCCAGGCCGCTCCAGGCGGGCTCCAGGTGCCGGCCAGTTCTGCAGTACAGTCGCCTGACTGGTCGTGCGCACCCGATGCGCACTATACACTACACTGCAACTGCTGCTGTCCGTCGCGCTGGCAGTGTCCCTCGCCTTATGGACAGTCGGCGCCGTCCAGGCTCGAGCGTCGATACTCGGCAGTGATTAGGCGGCTCTCTGGCGAGCTCAGGGGGGGCTCCATAGCGTGTGATAAGCACAGCAGACACCGCCGAGATGGCTTTCGGCGCGACAAGCTGCAGGACTTTGGGTTCCAGAGCTCCAGAGTGTGGCTCTGGAATGAGAGAAATACAGCTCGGCGCGCTCTGGTCAGGTGTGCAACCGCTGTTAGATCACAACGTTGCGTCGCCACTTGACGCGTCCCGCCTGAGTCAGATCGCTGCTGCCGGCCGGCGGGGCCCTGGCGGGGCCGCGGGGCGAGGCGTGCAGGCGTGCGCGCTCATTAGGAAGAGAGAGTTTGTTCAAAAGGTCTAAAGGACACACGCATAACTCCGATATGACCCAAACACGGCCGACTCCCCCACCTGCCCCCCCCCTCCCACCTCGCGAGGCGCCGTGCCGCGCACCGCGACGCGTCGTAAAGCTGGGAAATTTATGGGGAAAGCCCTCTGCTCCGTGCGTGCGTGGGCAATGAAAAACCGCAGCGCGAAAGGACGGGGAATAAAGATGAGACGTCGTTGTGAGGGAGAGAGAAACAGATATGTATACAAGAAAATAAAAATGTACTCTACGCGTATTGCCGCGCTGCGGGGCGGGATTCGAACCCATGCGAGTGGTGTAATAATTTCGCTGAAATATCGAGTCCGCGCTGTCGGCCGGCTCGCTTTGCCCAGCTTTGCCCCACGCTGCTGCCACGGCCTCTCCGGACAGAATGAGGCGGCAATCGCTGAAAGCAATCAGCAGCGCTGGCTCCCTAAAGGGCGTCCGCACTTAGGCCCCTGGTGTTGGCCTCTGCGATGAGGGGTCAAGATGGCCGGCCCGGCTGGGGGAGTGTAAGAAGAAGAGGGTCTCCGTCTCCTTCCGCCCGACTCTCGCGTACCGGGTGTAACTGAGAATGCGCAACAGTGTTGCGGGTTTGCCTACCCAGTTAGCCCGTAAGGCGCCATGGCCCCTGCAGCCCTGGTGGGTATGCAATCCCGCAACACTGTTGCGCATTCTCAGTTACACCCGGTACAGCCGCCCCACCCCGCCCCGCCACCTCGCAGCCCAGCGCCCGCAAATACTGCAAAGTCACCCGATGCATTGGGCAGGCTAATAGAAGTTGGCCTCAACGAGATGGGCCGCTAGGTGGGGCTGGTGGGGCGCGCGTCCGCGATGCACCGGTCTCACGCACGTGCTTGTCGACTCATGCGCAGATAGACGGCATTATTATCATTATTATCACTCTTATTATTCTCTCTTAGTTCTGACCGTCTCATTCTTATTAGGTCCCACGCTGGGCTAAAAGGTCGCCGTCACTGTCAGGTGGGAAAGTGGGGTAGCGGACCGACCCGCAAATCGTATCGACATCGCATTCGGCGCGAAGAGACCGTCAAAAAACCTGGTAGTGTCTTTCACACCACGGAGGTCTTGCCTCATCCCCACTGTCGAATCGGCAATGATTTATTTTGCGCCGCCTGGCTAGTTGGTACTTGACTGGTCGCGAATCGCTCTCGACCGCACACATGAGTGTTAGAATAAGCGCACGACCGCAAAGAGGAGGGGGAGGGAAGAGGAGGGCCAAGTGGCCGCGCGACGTCCTCGCGTGCCTGTCGGCCCCGACACCTCGATAGTGATCTGGGTGCAGCGCCCTCTGCCGGCGTGGAGGTACGTCCCACGCGCGCCCCTCTCCATGCACGGGGCCTACCTTGTCGTCCTACACGACGCAGCCCCTGCCGAGGCTCAAGGCTCACCCCGCCCCACCGATACCCTCGCCTAAGTACAAAAGGTGCGGGCGGGTTCGCCTGACGTCAACCATAGCGCCCGGCGAGTAGGCCACCCGCCATCACTAGTGCATTGCGGTACAGTGTGGCTTTAGGAGCCCGACCAGTGGCTGGGACACGCTGCACTAGACGTCGCATCTTGCATGTTCTGTTGTACCGGGTGTAACTATGAATACGCAGCTCTGTTGCGGGTTTGCCTACTCTTTACACATGTAAGGGGCCATGGCCCCTGCGGCCATATTGAGTATGCAATCTCGCAAACACTGCTGCGTGTTCACAGTTACACCCGGCACACGTGTAATAAGTTTCTCATCAAGAGGAACTAAAACTTGGCTTTGACGTTTGACGACTTAACTGTTGAAAAACCTCTTTTGTTGAGGTATTTAAAAAGATACTTTATGCTCCCGTACTTGAGGTAAAGGAATAAAATGGACTTGGTCTCTCAGCTGATGCATAGCTTCAACAGCCAATACTCGCAGCTAGAGTGAAATATGTTCGTCTGTTGTTGAGGATGCGGGTTATCTTCTCTCTCAGCTTACATTTAGGTTAGCTAAACTTCCCTTATAGTCGAGCCTACAATCAAACCAATGCGGCCGGTGGCGGCACCTTGCGTGCCGTTTCAACGACAAAAAAAAAAATCATATAATAAAACGAGATTGATGTGTCCGAATGTCGTCACCTCTTTTCACCCTCACAAATAATTTCCTGCACTTAGGCCGCGGCATGACAATGGGGCTCACGGCGTCCTCGTCGCACGCGCTGTTAGGGAGGCGGGAGCAACAGAGAGGGGAGCACACCTGACCCGGCCGGCTCGGCTCCGGTTGGCGTCCGACTGTCTTTCGTGAACACATCGGCATCCTTTCCTTTTGCGCAACCTAACCTCAAAAATGCGGAGCCGTCTTTCTTCCCGAATGAGCAGTCTTTACCATTTTATAATCGGCTAACATGCCGCGTCATAACTATTCCGTCGTTGAGCCAATACGTGGTTGCTACGCACTTTGAAAACTACTCGACGCAACTACATATAAACGTTAAATCAGCCTGTAAATCAATGTTTACCATCTGGTGGCGACCCGTTCCACCGCACCGCAAAAGAGCCCTTTCCAAAGTGCCGCACAATTAAATTTTCAATCCGCTGCCGCTGAAATTGATAATGCCAAGATTCTCCGGCGGCGGGCCCGAGGGGAAGGGGCGGCGAGGTCGAGTGTTTGCCAGCAGTCTTATGGAGATTGAGATTATTGATGTACGGCCGGCAGTACGCGATGCTCGCTTAATCCTTGATTACAACTTGGCGGCTGATTAAATAACGCCGGCCTGATCGTCAAGTGTTGCGCGCCGGCCTGGGCCTCGGCCGTGTGAGCTCGCCGCCCTGTCGCCCATTCGTTCCATTTCGTAAGTGTGAGCTTGGAAAAGAGAACCTCTGCGTCGTGGATGTGCCCTGCCGCCGCGGCAGTCGGTGGCAAGCTTCCAAAAAGGAGGGAAAAATCAGTTGGCTGACGTCGGCCAACTTTTTCTTATTTTTTTACACAGCATCAAAAATCGTTTTATTGTAAGCAAGTCGATGCTTGACCAGAGAAACGGCTGAGAGAGAGCTCGAGTGAGGTGAAGGAGATGAGAAGGAAGAGGAACAATTAAAATGGAGGAGAGGAGAGACAGCAGCAAGAGCCCCGCGGAACACAAGCCTATTTACCTCCCTACTATTTTTTAATCTGCCCCATAAATTCACGTGCTCAACAGGAAACATTTCCGTTTTATCAGCAGCGGGCCTCCCGGGGCCCCCTGGCTCCCATCACGAGTTCCCAATTATCTCGGAGGTTTCGGCGCGGCGCTGGCCAGCGATGTTGTACAGACCCGCATGTATCCACACGACACGCTACTGCCCAAAACTTCCCCACCGCATCTCATTGGGGCCCTCAGAGCGGCGGGGAAATAAAAATGGGATGAAATAAACTGTGAGGTTTGATTGCGCGAGAATCCTTGTGTGTCGGGGATGAGGAGGCGGTGCTGGTGTTCTTTGCACCTCCGCCGCCGCCACCGTTCTTTGTCAAAAAGTCCGGGAGTCACCAGAGGCCGTGCGCGGCTGCGTGCGTCCCAGAGGCCGTGACCCGCGGCGGTCCGAGTCATGTTGTAAGAGAAAGTGTTTTGCTTGCAGGATGTCGGCGTGACAGCTCCGCAGCGCTATGACCCGGCGCGCCATGATGGACGACCGGCCCTCCTCCCGGGGCACGCCGACGGGCACCCCCATGCCCGGCACCCCCATGCCCGGCACGCCCCCTTCGTCCCTGTCGGCGCAGTCACCCTCAGCCGCGCCGTCGCCCGCCAGGCAGGATACGCCGGCGCCGCCGCAGCAGGCGCCCACGCCGCCGCTCATGCTCGCCACCATGACCCCCGTCAACGTGGACGGCTACATGTACGAGCACCACCAGACGAGCGAGCACCACCACCTCCCGCACCCCCACCAGCCGCCCGTCATCTACAGCACGGCCAGCCTGACGGACCACCAGGGCCTCCCGGTGCCCGTCGGGGTGTCCGATGACGGCCTGATGGACGGCACCGGGGTCGTCGTGTACCAGCAGCAGGTGCCGCAGAACACGGTCCTCGTGTTGTCGGAGCTCGTCGACGACATGTCCCCCGTGCTACAGCTCAGGTGAGTGCCGTGGGGGTCACGCCGGTCACGGACCCAGGCGCGCGCCTCCGCTGTTAAAGATTAACGGCGCATCATATGTTTGTTACCTCGTCCCGGCGACGACGTCTTACCAGCCAGGCCCGGCTTAGGCTACCCATCCGCGAAAGAGTAAATTTTCGTTTCTGAAATATTTGTCTGTCAATTTGGGCGCGACGATAGGATGACCTCCGTTGCCCCGCGAGGTTCGGCTGCTGCGCGCTGCGCCCGCCGCGCGCGTGATTGGATGACCTCGGCGTTCTGTGTCCCTTCCTAAGACAAAAAGGAGACCATCGTGACGCTGCGGATCCTTTGACACGCGCCACGCCCTGCCACGCCCCGCCACGCCTGGCCCCCGGGGGTGCGCCCGTAAGCCCGCTGCTGATAATGCGTGACGTCACGTTTGCAGCCGCTTGTTTACTGGAAGCGATAGGTGACAGCGCTGACCTTGGCGGATTAAAACGCTGCCATGCTTTGAGGAGGCAGGAGGCGGCGGTGGGAGCGGCGCCGGCGTCGTTATCACGAAGCGATCTATCTGAGTCTTTTGCGTGCAATCACGGCCCATACGACGGCTGCGGCGGCGGCGGCCCGGTAGTAGTCGGACATCTATCATTATGCTGCAGGATCCCGCGCGCGCGCTGGCGTACCGCTGCTGGCTTACCACTGTTGTACGACTAGCGTACACTCTAAATGGGAAAGGACAGTTTTGTGTCCATCAAAGATGTGTTATCATGCGCACATTTCAATCCGTTGCCAACTTGTATCTAAAAATTTACAATTTGTACCCATCATCCAAAGTACCGGGTGTAACTGAGAATGCGCAACAGTGTTGCGGGATTGCATACCCGCCAGGGCTGCAGGGGCCATGGCGCCTTACGGGCTAACTGGGTAGGCAAACCCGCAACACTGTTGCGCATTCTCAGTTACACCCGGTACAAATGACTCTATGTTTATCTAGTTTATACAAGTTTGCACCCAATTGAGATCTGAAGGACACACAATCTTCCTTTTCTACTTAGAGTGTGTTGCTGGTAATCGATGCAGAAACCTGCTTAGTGGCAGTGTACCTGAATCGTCTAAAATTTTTAAACTCACTAGTGTGCGATTGAAAACGATCTGATAGTGTTGTAAAACGCGCGTCGCATCTGCGACCCGTAGGATAAGTTAATGAAAACAAGTATTTCCTTGTCTGTGTTTTGTGTTCTTCCTTTAGGCCGTGGTCAGGTTCAAGCGCAGCACACTTTCCAGAAGTGTGTGGGGACTCTAAGTTACAGTACTTGCACGACACTATGAATTGCGATAGGAACGTGGCAACAGCAGAGCTGCAACACACTGTGACGCTGGTAGGGGTTCGCGAGATGGAGCGGTCACGCCCTTTACGCAACTCATGCACGGCCCTTGTGGGTTTCGTCCTCCCCACCGGCTGGGGCGTGGCGG